ATAATGCTCCTCCCCTCAATTGTTTTGCTCCAAACATTTTGTTTCTTTCTCACAGACAGAGACTTTTGGAGGTCGCTGCATTCGGTTAGGCAGGAACGGAAGATACTTTTATGGATGCCGGGCAGGTTTGCACCTGAGAATAAGCACCGCTTGCGAAGTCCTGGCCAGACAGCCGCGCTGGAACACTCGCAGGCAAAGGCGCAGAAAATCCGGGCGCTAATGGCTATACCATTATCGTTTCGTTCAAACCCGACAGGGTGCACCGACTATTCGACTGTACAGAAGTAGAAAGGATCGACAGAGGGACGTGAAAGCCAACGGACACCAATATACCTGGAACTCAATAACCTTTGTGAAGTTGAATGAATTTACGAAAAGATCGTGGAAACACCACTGAGGTTTGCTCACAGTTGAATTGCAACTGCTGAGCGTTTCTCGGTTTTATTGTATTGATGTATACAAGGATGTCAAAAATGCTATACATGTAGTTCAACCCTTAAACATTGTTAATAGTTAGACTCTATGTAATAGTTAGGATCACTTTTCAAATATATATCTCATCGTTACCTATAAGTAAGATCAAGCACATAGTCTTCTTGGATACTTTACTTTTACCTTTTTGTCATATCTGTTGTCGTTAAGCGTTGAGGGGAGATGCAGTTTTCTATTGCAAAGCAATAATTCTGCTATGATGCCATCTGTTCCTGGGGGCTTTGATCTTTGGATTGGTTTTGAAAGTGTATTTTCAATTTCTTTGAACAGTATGAGCGGTTCTGTTTGCTCTGCATATACTGGTTTGAAGTCTTCTGGTTTGAATTCTTCTTGTTGTTCATGTCAAACGTCCGGGTTAATAAGTTCTGGTTGGCGGGGAATGGGACGAGGTAATTTTTCGTGGAGGATTGTACAGCCGTTTCTATATTTTTTGTTGAAAAACACACCCACTTTAGTTTATGAGACGGCATTTCTTTGTTTACGTAGCAGCAGAGCAGAAGTGCATCATTTTTAAGTGCACTTTTTCTTAATAATGGTTTTGACGATACCAACGATGTCTTACGTTGTATTTGCATTATTTTAATAAAGCTGCTTGCAAAAAGACGCTAAATATCATACAGTCTCTTTCATGAGTAAAGGGAACGATGTGTGAATGTGTGTGTGTGTGTGTGTGTGTGTGTGTGTGTGTGTGTGT